CCCCCCCCCCCGTTTCAGGATTTTATTGGAACTCAGAGAACTCAGCCAACTGAGAGTCCCAGGGTGCAGAGATATGAATTCCATCCTGATGTCAATGTCTACCTAGGGCTGACTTCAGAACACCCAAAAGAGACCCCTGACTTGGAAATCCAAGAGCTGAAGGAAACAGGTATGGCCTTAATTCTCTATAAATGAATCTTAGAAGGTTATTTCTGGAGTTTTACTCTCTCAGAAAAATTTCTATCTCATTTATGTCGAAAGGGAAACTTTTGCCTGGGTTACAGATACTCTGACCTTCTGTGAGTATATTTAGTCATCTCCCACAACTGAGAAGGGAGTGGGAAAATAAAGTTTTCTTCTGCCTTCTTCTGCCACTTGAGCAACAAGCCCTGCTGCTTAGCCATGGAATGTGCTCGCTTTAATCAGTTGCTTGTTGCTACTCTTTTAGCAGGCAGTCAGCCTTATTCACCAAGGGGCCACTTTTCTCCCACGGAGAGAGCAGCACTAGATCCTCTGGCTCCAGATCTAAGTCTGACAGCCAAGGAAACTCGGAATCAAGATGCTCCTTCTCCTGCTCTATTCGTGGCAGAAGAACCCAGGAGCCCCAGCACAGACCAGGCCAGCCTCTGCAGCTTTGAAATCAATGAAATCTACTTACGCTGCTTGAACTCAGGAGATGACAAAGAAGAAGAGTCCCCAGGAGCTGCTTCATCTCTTGAGAAAGACAGATCAAATCAGGCAGACGAACTGAAGTCTATGGAAGAAGAGCTAGACAGGATGGAGAAAGAGGCGCGCTGTTTCTGTGATGAGGATGAGAGCTCCTCAGAGGCAGACACGGAGCTCTCTTTTGGGGACTGGGACTGGCAAAGTGGTTCATTAAGTTCTCTCAGTCTGCCTGAACCAACCAGAGACGCTAAGGACAATGTGAACAACTGGTCCATGACCGAGGAGTACATCAGCAAGTGTGTGCTGAATCTGAAGATTTCACAGGCCATCGTGCACCAGAATGACGAATTGCTGAACAGTATTCAAAAGAAGATGGACGAGCTTGAGATGATCCAGAAGGAGCAGGAGGATGACTGGACATTGTGGGCCACTTCAAGAGAGTTTGCGCATGTCTGTGACTGGCCTTCAGCTGTGGGCCCTCCAACTTCGAATTATGTTCCTCCTGTCATGCAGCTGTCAGAGGACCATCTACTAGATACTAGTGGCAGTTGCCCAACCCTAGCAAGGTCTCCAAGAACAGCGAGAGACCTTCAGGAGGGACATTCTGACAAAAGGTCCAGGAAACAAAGTGGCTGTGTCTTGAAACCTTTCACCCAAGTCTCTGGAGAAAGCACGGGGTCTCAGTCAGAGATGAGCCATCAGGTAAACCGAAGTGGAGGAAGGGGCAGCCTTGAAGCAGGACCCTAGAGTCCCTAGTATATGTGCAGGGACCCACATATAAATATAGCCAGGGCCTTTGGCTTTGGGAGATAAAGTATGTAGGATGGAATTTCCATGTTGATACATGTCACTTCCAGTTCTTATCTTTCTCTGTGAATTCATGTGAATCAGGTTGAAGTATATGAAATTGCTTATTTTTTAAAAAAAATAATTATTTAACTTTGTTACTATTATTATTTTTTCTTTAGAGAGAGATTTTTGCCATGGGGCATGTGCAGTCACTGTAGAGACAGATAGAAAGTGAGAAATCACCTTTTGGGGAAATGGCTATACTGCAGTTCCTTCTCCTCCACTCTCCTCTGCCTATTTTGGGCATCACGCAGACATGCCTGGTATGAGTTTTAAGCCATGGGTCCAGGACCTGAACCATGGTCAGCCATGTGGAAGTCCATCAATGTAACCATTATGCCATCTGCTAGATCCGTTATTATTATTTTTTAATTTGACCAGAGAGAGAAAGGAAAAGTGAGAAAGCAAGCCACCAGGTCTGGGACTCAAACTGTGGCTGTGGGGGAATACAGTGCCTTAATCACCACGCTACCTGACAGTCCCTGGAATTACTATTTTATAGGTCAAAATGCTCAAATATTGGCAATTTCTTTTTCTTCTTTTTTTTGGAGAGGTTTTTGCTATAGGGCGCTTGCACTTGCCAGAAAGACAGAGAGAGACAGAGAGACAGAAAGTGAGAAATCACCCACTAGGGGGATGGCCACACTGCAATCCCTTCTCTTCCATCCAGCCACCTTAACCACCACACCACTGACTGACCCTACAAAGTACCTTGGGCATCTTGGGCATGCATGCACACACAGCTGGTGTGAGTTTAAGCCACCAGGTCCAGGACTCAAACTGCAGTCGACTACATGGGAGTCCAGCGACATAGCCATTACGCCAACTGCTGGTCCCAATATTGGCAACTGCAGATGGTTGAAATATATTAGATGTCTTGGGCAGGCATTATTTTCCATTTTTTATTTTTTAGGCTTTTGCACTCACCAGAGAGAGAAAGAGAGGGACAGAAAGAGAGGGACAGAGTCTTTTCTCCTGAGACTTTGGGCTGCACACACATGCCTGATGTGATTTTCAGGTCACCAGGTCCAGGGCTCTAACTGCAGTCAGCCATATGGGAGTCTAGTACCTTAACTACCATGCCACCCATTGGCTTCTAATCTCCATTATTAATAGCTTACTCACTCATAAACACACAGTTACAGAGTCCAAGGCTATATTAGGTCCTGGCATATGAGGATGAATAAGCTGCAAGCTCTGCTCGAGCATCAGTGGGGGACTGGGACCACAGACTCTTGAGAGATGAGCAGACACCATGGGAGCTGGCCTGGGAGGGTTAGCTTGGGGCTTAGCAAGGTCCCACCGTGGTTCCTCTGTGAGCTCCTTAAGGAAAGGACCTGAGTCTTTCTCATCTTGTGTCCCAACACCCAGCACAGTACCTAACACAGGAGGTACTTTGTAGGGTCAGTCAGTGGTGTGGTGGTTAAGGTGGCTGGATCCCATAAGGCCAATTCCAAGATTTGAGTCTTAGACCTAGTAGCTTGAGAAACAGACCGGATGCATGTATATGTGTGCCCACAGATCCCAAGAGGAAAATGGAGGAGAAGGAATTGTGATGCAGCCATCTTTCTTGCAGGGTGATTTTTTCTTTTTTCTTCTTTTTGGAGAGGTTTTTGCTATAGGGCTCATGCACTCACCAGACAGACAGAGAGACAGAAAGTTAGAAATCACCCCCTCAGGGGGGATGGCCACGCCACAATCCCTTCTCCTCCATTCTCCTCTCAGGATCTTGGGCACGCATGCACACGCGCCTGGCGTGAGTTTTAAGCCACTGAGTCTGGGACGCGAACTGCAGTGGACTACGGGGGAGTCCAGCGACGTAGCCATTATGCTAACTGCTGGTCCCTTGCAGAGTGATTTTTCATTTCCTCTCTCTCCCTTTCTGTCTGTCTCTGAGAAGTGCATGTATTCTACAGCAAAACTAGGGGGGGTAAAAAAGGTGCTTGGTAAATGGTCATTGAAGGAACGAGTGAATGAATGAATTTGAACAAGTTCACACACAGAGAACTGGCTACCTCTTGAATCATAGAATTTTAAAGATAGAAGAACCTGCAGACATGAGTCTCCTCTGTCATTTTTTAGAGTGTGACACTCAAACTCACTGACTTCAACTTCCCGAGGTGCAGTGATGTTACCCAATTAGGTCTGCCCTATTGGAAGGAGGATTTCATTACTAAAATGATTGGGACCAGCAGATGGTGTACTGGTTATGTCGTTGGATTCCCACATGGTTGACTGCAATTCTAGTCCTGGACCCAGCAGTTTAAAACTCACGCTGGTTCATGTGCGTGTGTTCCCAAAAACCTGAGAGGAGAATGGAGGAGAAAGGATTGGGGCATTGCCGTCTCCCTTGAGGGGTGATTCTCGCTTTCTGTCTCTGGTGGGTGTACTCACCCTATAGTAAAAATCTCTCTAAAAAAAAAAGGAGGGGGGTGGCAGGTGGCATTGTGGTTAAAGTTGCTGGACTCCCACATGGCCAACTGGGGTTCAAGTCTTGGGCCTGGCGACTTGCTTTCTCACTTTTCCTTTCTCTCTCTGGTCAAATTTAAATAAATAAATAAAGTTAAATAAAATAGTTCTTTAAAAAATTAGGACAATAAAGTGGTGACCCTTGGTGACAAAAAGTTCAACTTTTAGTGGACTCTATTACCGTCTTAAAATTCTTCACCTACAGTGCACCCCAAAATTACACAGGGCAGATTGCTCTCTTCTTACCTCTAATTTGCTGCACTCCTGCAGGGTCTAGGCTGGTTAGGGGCAGGTCCCCTGGCTCCTAATCTGATGTTCTTTCACTGTGCCATGAGGAATTTAAGTGAGGTTTCAGTCCTCACCTAGAACATTTGGAAAAGCGTTGGCATTTTTGTTTTCTTTTGTTTTAGATTCAGGACCTTCCTGTGATGCCTGGGCTGGCCTTGAACTTCCAGTCCTCCTCCCTCAACCTTTCAAGTAGCTGATAGTACAGGCACATGCTACTGCATTTGGAAGCATTTGTTGTTGTTGTTGTCATTGTTTTTTGTTTGTTTGTTTGTTTTTTGCCATAGGGCACGTGCACTTGCCAGAGACAGAGAAAGGGAAAGTGAGAAATCACCCTCGGGGGATGGCTATGCTACACTCCCCTCTCTTCTGTTCTTGGGATTTGGGGCATGTATGCACACATGCCCTGACCTGATTTTCAAGCCACTGGATCCAGGGCTTAAGCTGTGGTCAGTCATGTGAGAGTCCAGCACCCTAATCACATTGCCACTTGCTGGTCCCTGTTTTTTTTTTGTTTTGTTTTGTTTCTTTCTCTCCCTCCTCCTCTCTTTCTTTCTTGAGAGACGGGAGACGCCTGACAGGGTCTTTATTCATTTATTTAGCTTGGTTTATTTATTTATTCCACGAGTGAGAGATGGATAGCACTCCTGACAGGATCTTGACACCATAATCCATCCCCTCAGCCAGCCCTGGATTGCAGGCATGTGTCTGGTGTACTCAGAAAGGTTTCTGGACTTGAACTGGGAAACTTCCATGTGGAACGGCCTTGTGGAATGTGCCACCATCTAACCCTGTACCCTAACAGGTTTTTGCCGCATCCTAATCCTCCCAGCCAGGATCACAGGCATGCCAGGTCCATTTGTTTTCTTCCATGGGGTGGGGCAGACCACACCCAGAGCAGAGTCTTGATGCTGCAATCCACCCGAGCCTTAGCCAGCTCCAGATAGTGGGCAGGAGGAGCGTGCCTGGCATACTCGGGGACATCTGATGCAAACTGGAGCCTTTCCATGTGGGCCAGCCTAACAGGGCATCATGTTTTGCTGTTATATCACTGTCAAGCCCTCTTTTTAAAAATTATTTAATTTTATTCATTTATTCTTCAATTTGACCAGAAAGAGAGAGATATGGAGAGGAGAGGAAGAGTGAAAAGGCAAGCCACCAGGTCCAAGACTCGAACCACAGTTGACCATGTGGGAATCCAATGCCTCAACCACCATACCACCTGCTGGCCATCATTTCTTTTTGTATAAACAGAAGGGACAAATAATTTACTTATACCCTACTATTTCCATTGAGACTTAGAGTTTGCTGGAAAAGTAGTAGAAACACCTTTTTCTTTTCTTTCCTGTTTTAGAGAGATTTTTGCTATAGGGCATATGTGCTTGTCAGAGAGACAGAGAGAGACAGTGAGAAATCACCCTCCAAGGAGGACGGCCACACCACAATCCCTTCTCCATTTTCCTCTCAGGATTTTGGGCACGCTTGCACACGAATCTAGCGTGAGTTTTAAGCCTCTGGGTCCGGGACACGAACCATGGTTGACTACATGAGAGTCCAGTGACGTAACCATTACACCATCTGCTGGTCCCTAGAAACACCTTTACTTGTAGTTATGTTTTAGTTATCTATCGCTGTGCAATAACAGCAAAAAAAAAAAAAATGGTCCCAAACTTAGTGGCTTATAATTACAAATAATAAAAATCACCATTTATTATTATTAATAACTCATTTAATAAAATGATAAAATAATTTATTATTTCTCACAATTCTGTGAGTCAGGAATTTGACAGGGCTCACCTGGGTGATTCTTCTACTCCACATGGCATTGACCGGTGTCACTTACTCAGGTGCATTTAGCTGGAGGCTGGGCTGGGCAAGCAGGTTCGGGAAGCCTTTACTTACGTGTCTGGTACCTCAAGCCTCCTAATGGCCTCTCTGTAGTGCCTGGCATGCCCTCTTTCAATGAACAGTCTCACCCATGCTTCTCCACAGTATAGCAGCTGGCTTTCCTAGGGAAAGCTAAAACTGCCAGGACTCTTCTGAGCTAGTCATGACTCTAGGACATTGTCATTTCTGCTGCTTCCTGTTAGTGAAAGAAAGTCATGAGGCTAGCCCAGGTTCAAAGGGAAGGAAATAGACTCCAGCTACTGGCAGGAGGGCTTGCAGGGTGGGCAGGGAGGGGCAGAATTGATAGCAGCCATCAGTGTAAACAAACCATCTGCTAGGACATATGACTGCAGGAAACAAGTGTACCATCTTTATTTTTTATTTAGAAAGCTCACTGTCTTTTTGTAGCATCATCAGGGAAGAAGGCATTTTCACTTAAGTGCATTTTTTAGGGGAAGTGAAATTCACTCCTTTAATTTCTTAGCTCTTAAAATTTTTAATCATAACAAATGAAAACATCACAGACTTCCTGTTATTCTGATAGAATCCTGTTATTCTGGTAGAATAACAGGAAGTCTGTAATGTTTTCTAAATACATTCTAACCTTTCCTTGGTGAACCTGACACTGTTTTGAACACCTGTTACTGTGAAGCTCCCTGAGACAGTGCTGTCTTCAGCCCCTGCTCAGAGTCTCCCTGTGTGCAGAGGCCTCTGGAGCGCATATTACAGGGAGCTCGTGGTCATATTCTATGTCTCTCTCACTTTTGTGCATCTTGCCACCATCCCCAACCCCTACTCTTGTTGCCGTAATTTGCTATAGACTAGGGAATATAATTAACCAAGTTAATTAAAATTATGTTAAACTTGGGATAAAAAAGATCTAAAAGTCTCTCTCTTTTAAAATTTCTTTCTTCCATGAACAAGAGAGAAAGAGAACCAGAGAGAGAGCACCCCGTCAGGGTCTTGGTGCTGTGATCACCCCAGCTTCAGCCATGTCCTGGCTCACATGCACACCCAGCATATTCAGGGAGGTCTCTGGATGTGAGTCCAGACCCTCCTCCTGTGGTTCAGCCTCATAGAGCATCCCATGCTACTGCAGGGCCGTCTCCTGGCTCCCCCAAAGTCTTAAATACAGGTCATTGATTTTTGTTTATTGATACTTCTGCAATTGCCGGGATCCAGCCTCGGCGTGGGTGGGTTATCTGGCATGGGTGGGTTATCTCGATGGAGGCGGCGAAGGTGAACAGAAGACAGAGGCCTCGATGCCTTTTTATGCACGTCTTATGCCGGACACCCCTCAAAGATCGCTCTCTGAGGAATGACAACTGCTAGGAATCATCGTGCCTTTTTATTGAAAATGTGATACATGCAAGTAAATGAGTGAGGGGCAGTAAAAGATTTACTCTAAGGAACAGGGTATACAAAGCATGGAGCAATAATTATAAAACATGCTGTTTGTCTTGTTAGCTCAGGTAAAATCAATCACAGTTCTCAGGATGAGGAAGTCCATTTGTCTGCTGTATTTTCTTAGATTTTGATTACTGGGAAGAGTCTTTTGAAGAGGGGGCTATCTATACATTACAACAATAGAGGGTGAGTCTATAATCTATATGGGAAAGGAAGATGATCTTGTATCTCAGGAGACAACACAGGATGTTTTATTAGCAGTTTTTCATAGTCAACAGCACATAGATGAGAAACTCTTTGTAGTTGAAAGCTACCTGTTGCTTTAGATAAGAACTCCCAGCTAAAATGGTTAATCTTTCTGTGGAGCCCTCAGCTTTGTTTATTCTGTTGTCCCAGTTAGGCTTTTTCCTCTAATAAATCTGTGGGTTCCTGCATTTTGTTTGTTGAGTCTTGTCAATTAGTGAGTTCTTTTGTTTTATCTCTGAGTCTCTGTTATGTGGTGAATGTGCTGACTTTGCTAGTGTGAGTTAACTTTGGCCTGTAGCTTTAACAAGGGGTATGTAAGTAAAACTAACCTTAAACTAACTTAGTCTACATATGCTTCTAATGCTAATTTGGTTTATACTAACTTAATCTATATGTTAATTTTGACTTAAAAACAGACAGGTGGGGGAGTCTTAAACTTCCTGATCCTCGTGTTAGTCTTAGGGAACCACATTCCTACAAGATCACTAATTGGCTTTATTGCAATGGTTGGGGGTGATGTTTTACCCTTACAGGGTACCGTAATAACAGTAAAACTCACGGCAGAGAAATTAAATACCGGCCAGTTCAAGGACACAAGGGAGAGCTCGTAAACTGGGCCTTGCCTCAGTTTCTTCCCAGTCTCGGCCCTGCCTTAGAATGGGAGGCAGCATCCTTACCAGCTTGTGTTGCCTGCATGGCCCCGTCATGCAATTTTCAAAGTATCATAGGCTTTATTTTATTTTATTTTATTTTATTTTATGGTCTTCTCACTAGTAGGTGGTGTTATTATTATTATTTAGATTTTTGTCATTGGGTGCATGTACTTGCTGGAGAGACAGAGACAGAGAGAGAGGTGAAGTGAGATATCACTCCCTGGGGGATGGCCATGCCGCAATCCCTTCTCCTCCATTCTCTCGGGATTTGGGTGCGCATTGGGCATGCACGCACACAGGCTTGGCATGTTTTTCCAGCGACTCCGTCTGGGACTCGTACTATGGAGTCTGCCATTTGGAACTGAGTGCCTTATCCACCATGCTAGTGCTGCCCGCTGGTCCCCTACTGGTGATATTGTCCCTTTTTTGGTTATTTTGCTATAGGGCACGTGCATTCACAGGAGAGAGGCAGAGAGTGGGGTAGAGGGATGCATGGCCCCAGTGGTAGATGGCCACACCAGAATCCCTTTTTTTCTACTCTTCTCTTGGGATTTTGGGCATGCACACTCATGTACACAGCATGTTTTTCGAACCACTGGGTCTGGGATTTGAACCATAGGAGTGGCCATGTGGAATCCAGTACCTCAACTACCACACCATCTGGCTGGTCTTATTGTCCCTGTATGATAATGAAGAAACTGAAGTATTAGATTTTCTTAGGTTAGTCTGAATAAAGCTTAGACTAGAACCCAAGGCTCAGGGCTTCTGCCACAAAGATCGACCGCTTTCGTACCATGGTAGGAGGTAATGCTCAGGAAAATATTTGGATTTTTCTATTTGAATTTCATTCGCTAGGTCTCTGTATGTACCCTTACTAGACTGGGTTCCTGGGGCCTCCAGATAAGAGGTGGGTTATTAGATGTGAAACATGCAAAGGGGAATTGTGTCGATAGGCTTGGCTATTTCACGTTCTTCATGAGAATGGTGTTAAAAACAGTGCGAGAGTGAAGAGAAAAGGAAGTCCCACATAAAAGTACTGAAACACGTTTATTGCTTTTTAAGTTGCCAACTCTTTGTGGCCCTGGAAAACAGAACACAGGGGAACAATTCCAACCCACGCCAGGAGTCAAGGACAGTTTGGAAAGAAGCAAGACCCAAGATACCAGTAGGTGGGTGAGCATTTTATTGTTGTTTGTGTTACCATGCCTTTAGACTTCCACGTATCCCTGAGGGCCACTTAATGACAAAGGGGTGGTGAGTAATGAAGAGCAGTGCAGAAACAGATCTTGGTAGATTCTCTCTGCTAAGTGAGTGGAAGAACAGGGTAGTGGAACCTGGAACATCAAGGGGAAGTGACCGGCAGGTTGATCAGAACTCCTAGGCTGTAGCAAAACCTCTCAGACAGTTTTTCTGTTTCTTACTTTATTTTATTGATTGATTGATTGATTGATTGGAGAGATTTTTGCTATAGGGCGCGTGCGCTCACCAGAAAGACAGAGAGCGACAGAGAGGCAGAAAGCAAGAAATACCCCCCCAGGGGGGAATGGCCACGCTGCAATCCCTTCTCCTCCATTCTCCTCTCGGGATCTTGGGCATGCACACACGCCCGCCATGAGTTTAAGCCACCAGGTCCGGGATTCGAATTGCGGTCGGCTTACATGGGAGTTCAGCGACATAACCATTATGCTAACTGCTGGTCCCTGTTTTATTTTTTTTTTAAGAATTATTTTATTGAACTTTATGTTATCTTCTTATGTATTTATTTATTTATTTGAAGAGGTTTTTGCTATAGGGTGCATGTGCTCGCTAGAGAGACAGAAAGCAAGAAATCACCCACTGGGGGAATTGCCACGCAGCAATCCCTTCTCCTCTATTCTTCTCTCAGAGAGTTTGAGTCCCAGACCTGGTGGCTTGCTTTCTCACTCTTCATTTCTCTCCGTGTGTCTCTCTCTGATCAAAATGGAAGAATAATGGTAATAAATAAAATTAAAAATAATAAATCTTATAAAAAAGAAATTATGTAAAATGAATCTTGTTTTGCATAGGTGGAAATATTAAAGGGGCAATAAATGTCTTCAAAACAGACTAATGTATCAGCTTTAGTTTTTCTTTTTGGTGTATTAATGGCAGCACTGATCATAGTTTTAAAGTTAGTTCTGAAAAATAACATTTTTTCCCCCCCCCCCCCCCACCCCCTAGCATTTCCCTGGAAC